AAGGATACAAACCACGCTGTAGATCCCTCTTCTGCGTTTGAAGTTTTCGCTTTTTACCCCGCTCCTGTCAATTTCACAGCTGAAGAACAGAAGGTTTTCACAGAGGCATTTTTAGCACATCCCAAAAAATGGGGTAAAATTGCTGAATCTCTTCCTGGACGAGATTTCCAGGCGTGCATCAATCATTACTATGTTACAAAGCACGAATATAAATACAAAGCCAAATTAAACAGGAAAACCATACGGCGACGCCAGAAGAAAACTACTGCTGCTACCAGGAATTCCAAATCTAATGCTCTCATGTCAGATCTGGGTGTTCGGCCCGAATATGAAGGTGACGAAGCCGAAATGCCCGCCGTCACTGACACTGGTAGACCCCGTCGTGCAGCCGCTCCAACATTTGGTGAAGTTGGCCCAGATACGGAGAATAGCACACCCACGCCCAGTTCCGGGAGAAGAGGAAACAACACCAAAGAATGTGGAGAACAAACAGTAGAGAAAAGTGTAAGTAGACGTGGTGGAAGAGGAGGTGGTGGACGTGGTGGCAGGAGGGCAAAAGTACCACAGTCTACTCTTACAACGCCAATTGCTGCAGCTCCTCCCAAAGTTGAAACTGAACTGCCTGTGGATGCTACACTAGAATTGTCTGTAACAAAGGAAATGGAAGAGCAGAAGGATGCTGCTGATGCATCCATTCTTCGGACAAAAACTACTAAACCGCGCACGAAGGAAGCCGCCTATGTTTTTGATGTTGCCGAACCCGAGACGCCAGCAAGGACAGTAGAGCCCAGATCAGGGTCCCTTCAGCCAACAAGCTACTGGTCTGTGCCAGAGCAACGTGAATTTCCGGAACTAATTCGTCACTTCGGGAAAGATTTTGACGCGATCTCTCAGTATATGAAAACAAAGACACCTACCATGGTAAATATATTATACTTCCGTAATCCACTGCATATCATTTTACGTCAGCTAACATATTACCCTACAAGGTCAAAAACTATTTCCAGAGACGTGTTGATTCTGGACAAACCTCATTGGAAGAATATGCTGAATTAGCTGAAGCCAAGAAGCTCAGCGGAGAACCACCAGGACCCCTTCCACTTCCAAGTATTCCTCCCAAGCGACGATATGAAGCAACCCCGTCTTCTGTTACCCCACGGCCGCTTGCGCCAAACACTGAAGTTAGCGAGACGATGGATACGTCGCTGGCGTCTAAGCCAAAAGCTCCCGCTGTTCCGCTAGCCGCCGCACAACCTTCTACCAGCCAGCCTCAGCCTCGCCCGCAATCAGAAAAGGACCGTCCCCAGCCCAGATTTTATCCTCTTGCCCAAGCAACAACAGCTCCTCTGCAGGCTATGAACGAAGAACCGCAACCACGATCGATTCGTCCTCAGCCGCCTCAAAACCAACGCAATCAACAAGGCCCTCGAGCTGGATATTTCAGTGACGACCGGAAGGATGCCCGGACAGTAATGCCTATTACACCGGTTCCAAACCTGCAACCTCAAGAACTCCAATGCCAGGAACTGCAACAAAATGTAGTACCCACGCAAAATGCCGGGCGAGGCTCAGCCATGCACACCCAAAGTTTGTCTCACGAAGATTTACAGGCTCTATCGCAAGAGAACCACGATTCATTACGATATCAGTCACTAACTCATCCAGCAGTGTTTACTCAAACCCAGTATCTTCAGCAATCGCAAGCGCACAGTCCAGTTATTTCAGTGGCACGAACACATTCGAGGCGTTCGAGTAAAGTAGTTTCAACACCAACGACCGTTTCCCCAGTGCAGCGGATGCCGAAACAAGGGTTAGATTCAGCTGCTCCCCTACGCAATGATCTTGGGCAGCAAAAATCAGCTTTGCCGCCCCCTGGCCACCTTCTAGGTATTGGCCGACAATCACCCGTAATGTCGCCCAGCAAAGAGGATGCTCGTCCAAATTCAACCTCAACTACCGCTTTTCAGGATCCTCCACGCCAAGTACCTGCCAAACGGTCGAATATCATGAACATCTTAAATGATGATGCTGAAGAGCCACAGCCGCGAAAGAGGTTCGCAAGTAATCAACCTTCCCCCTCAAACACTCCGCAGTTATATTCTACATCGCATTCACTTTCTCTTCAAGCGCAACCTGTCTCTCAGGACGAATCATTACACTCCACTCGCCAGCCCCAGCAGCATCGATCGCAGTATCTGTCACAGCACCCACCGGGGTCGCAAACAAATCAACTGTCAACCGCTCCGTCCTGCTCCTACCCAGAATATTCCAGCTACTCTGCTGGCTCCATAACAGGATCTGGAACCACAGCTCAGGATTGGATGTCAAGACTAGACCCCAGAGGACAGCAGCAGTCGCAAACATCTGGTGATACTGAAAATGGCATTTCCCGTTTATCAGCTCAGCAAAATTCAATTGTAGGATACATGAATACCGGTCAACAGCCAACTACAAACTCCGGATCGAACGTCCATCAACAAACCCAGCAGCAACATCACCCCTCGTACCATTCCCAGCCTTTGCTACAATCACAGCAATCTCAACCCGCTCCGTTCCAGGCCAAATCTCAGTGTCAACCGAATATAGGCTTAGGGAAACGCGATTCTCCCATGACGTTACATGCACAACCGCTTCATCCTCCATCCCCACAACATCGTCACAGTGCGCTCTCATACTCTCGTCGGTCCTCCCAGCAGCATCCAGCCTCTCCAGTCCAGCTACCTGCTCCAGGGCTATCCCAAACACAGCAGCTCCCATCTTATTCTCAGGGTCACTTAGGTCAGCCGCACCTACGTCAGCACCACCCACCGACTGGACAACTTGGACATAATCACCAGCATAATGCTCAAGCTGGTGGTAATTCGCAACATATGCAACACATGGGCCCGCCTTCTTCGCCTCGCCACCACAACGCCCAGCTACGCCAATCCCAGCAGCAGCAGCAGCAACAGCAACCCCGACATGGTCAACACCATCAATCACATCAGCACATGCCCCCTCTCAGTGTAGGGAGCCAACAAAGTGCTGGGCCATTCGGTCACAATGTCCCAACCCACTCGCAACCGCGTCGAGCACCGGGTAATTCCTCTATTGCAGCCCCAAGCCCGCACCAGAACCCAAATATTGGAAGACCTTACACCCCACCATCCGCCTTGCATCAGCCTTCTCAAGGCGGTATTACGTATACAGCTGTTGGTGTTGCTCCTCACCCTAACCCTGGGTCGCAGCAACATGGATTGCTCCAAATGCATCAGCATCAACACTCGGATCAGCATCAGCTCCATTCGAGGCATCCTGGATCGGCCCATCACCGTGCCTACTCCCGAGACTCGAGACCATGAAATAACGAGGAATGTTCGTCTATGTTAATGATGGTTAGGGCTGTATTTAATTTTCATGCACTCGAATTCTGTACATATATGTTACCGCAATCTCTCTCGTTTCCTTCAGTGTTTCCTCATTCCAAACCCCCCCCCCCCCCCCCAAAAGTTGTGGGGCTTCTCTCCAATAACAAGCAGGTTGTGTGAGATAGCGTGTGAAACTGATGACCTTACTTCCTTTATTATCCCCCCTTGCAATACTGCTCATCTTGATTTTTGTTTGTTTGCTCCTAGATACGTCTTTGCGGCACCTTCAGTTCTTGCATTGAATATCAGTCAAGTCGGTTTTAATGTTTGCCCTGTATGCCATCCATTATACACGAGTCGTTTCGGAGTTAGAGACTACAGTTGCTACCATGAGTTAAAATGCGAATACACTGAATTCCTATTTATTTACTTTTTATCAATTTTAACTATCAGCTTCTCTTTAACCTCATCTCTTCGGACACAGTTTTCAGGTCCTAATTGCCCAACATTCCACCAACAGTCAGAGGATGTAGCGCAGGGCAAACGAAAATGGCAGATGGTAGATTTTACTCTATATTTGAAGGTTATTAACGATGCCGAGATGGCTTACCCAGATCCGCAGCTAAATATTAAATACTTACTGTGCGGAGCAATGCTAGTCTCTCTTTGATTCATGAAGTTAAGCCAAAATATGAAAATACTGATCGGAGTTGTATATTTAACTCCCAGTGAACTAAAGCTTGTTAACGAACGTGTAACATACAAACAACAGAAGTAGGGCGCGCGGGAATCAAGGACCAAAACACTGATTGCTGGACCAATAGCTGTCAAAGGCAAACAAGTCACAATCACTAGACAGTATAGTAGCAAATATACAGGAATTAAGAGAATTCAATTTCTCGTAATGTCGTAATGCATAAATCCCGTCAAAACTTGG